CCGCATGTCACGCCACATGCCACACCGCATGCCACGCCACACACACCGCTGCCGCCCAAGTACACGCCGCACATATTCGAAGAGGTAAAACAACAGCTATAGCTAATAGTTTGTCTAAATAGTGATCAGTTTGACAATTTAGGGATGGGTATTGTAAAATCGCGTATGAATATTTTCGATTCTCGATTTTTACTATCATAGAAATTGGAATCGATATGTAAATACTTATTTTTTTATTCGGTTATTCAAAGTCAAATTAATAATGAGATATTGAAAATTAACAGTACTAATACGTAATTTATTTGGAATTTGTTATAATTGCTATCGTTATCACTATATTCACTACTTGAACTGTCCTCCGTCCTATGTATACCCGTCTATTACGGTATTTACCGTCATATAAATTTAATTCGATATTTTATATTCGTTACTTGTCAAACTAATCAATCTTTAATAGACAAACTACAAATAGCTAAATTAATTCCTTGTGCCGGTTTTTTTTTTTTACTTTATTTAAATATAGTTTTGTGTTATCTGTATGAAAATACAATAAACTTTGTACCCTTTGTTACAAATGTAAACATGTATTTGTATGTTATCCTTTTAGAAAATCGCAACTAAAATATATTTCAGAAGTGATGACCGTTTCAGGTAAGCCACAGCCGCTATAGGAATCTGGAGTTTTTCAAAGAGATAGACCCGATGAAGGTTTGTTCTTTGCTCACAAGCGATCGTTTCTCACTCACGTAGTTTGTGTACCACATTCACACTAGCCACACGTAGCTCTACACATCATAGATTTAGCTCATCTTGTTAGTCTCTTTTAAAACCTCCAGATACGCGGCTTAAAGCACATAGTTTATACAAAAGTCACGACGCTGTCTGATTTATATTTTGAAGTTGGCACAGAGTATACAATTCAAAAGCATTTAGTAAAATAATGTTTCGGAAACGTGGACAATATCTTAGTACTGGATCCGACTCGATTTGCTCCTATTTCATAGATTAAGACTGATGGATCCAGCTAGATACATTGGCTAAGGTGAAGTGCGGTTGCGTTGATCTAGCTCGCGATTTTAATATTTGCCAAACAAAAGAAATATAATTTTGAATTTCAGATAATTCCCTAAAATTCCAGTTAAATAGCAATAGGTGCATTTTATCGAGGTAATTTGTAATAGGAATGTTGTCTGTGATCAGGTGGGTCGTTCCCTGGGCGCCTCGATACTG